TATACGACCTGCTTTTTAGAGTTGTACAACTGAGGACCAGCACCTTGCCCCTTTCCTTTCCATAGGTGTCTTTCAAAAATCCTACACATTTGGTCCATTTGGGAAGTGTCCTTCAGACAGAGGGCTTCCAAAATAACCACTTTGTGCTAGGGCCTTGTGAAAGGGAGAATCTCTTAGTCTATGCTGTTTGCCGGTTAATGTGTTGATAACACATATAGACACAGGGAGGCTGCCTGCCAAATATCTATTCTTTGAGGCTTCTGGCTGCCAGAATTCTGATTTTGTTCAGGATAGCAGTGTGTCAACAGAAGGAAATCAGTGATCCTTGTTGCCCTTAAACAAGAGCTGACAGACTTTTCTTGTAAAGGGCAAGACAGTAAATTTAGGTTTTGTGGGAGAAGTGGCAAAATTGAAGATATTATTTAGTAACTTTCAGATAATTTTTACATGTCATGAAATACTCTCTTGACTTTTCTCCCATTCTTAGTTTGTGGGTTGTACCAGGCAGTGGGCTGAATTTGGCCTGTAGAATATTTGAACCCCTGCTTTAAATCAATCACACCTACTTTTCAGTATCCTGTGCATGGTCATGTGACCCAGTAAGACCCGCCCACCATGGGTGGTGTGCAGGGGGAGGGGTGGTTCTGGGCAAGCTTTTGTTAACTTGTTGAGGGGAGGCAGGTGCTATAGAGCCCAGACCCTTCTCCTTTCTCTGCCTTGAACAGCACGAAATACGGAGTGATCTTGGAGTAGAAAAGAGGATGAAAGTCCACAAATCATGAAGCAGAAAGAACTTGGTAGTCAGTACTACCTTTACCCTGTAACTTACCATGTGAGAAAACTAATGCACCAGGGCTTCTGCAGCTTTGATCCTTTTGCTCCAAAGGGATCCAGTGTGCCAGAGGTGTCAATCATTATCTGCTATGCCCCTCCCTGTCTCTAAGAGATTTGCTCTTCTCATGCTGGTGGTGCCCAGAAGGGCTGGGCATGTGCCACATGATCATCCCATTCCCATTTGCCTGCCCTTGCTATTAGACCTGACCCAAAATTAGCCAATCTGTAGGCTGATCAGTGACCATTTGGCTTGGCTCAAAGGATGAGTGGGTCCAATCAGCTTCCCTGGATCAGGAAAAGGAACTGAGATTTCTTCTTTCTTTTCTGGATGGACAGAACACAAACAGTATGGCAGAGAGGAGGTGCTTGCAAATACTTCGGGAGCACCCTTATCTCCGGCTCCTGGGTCTGAGAGTTCAGCTTATTGTGACCCCGTTCTCTGGATTTCTTCTGGATTCCAAATGCATCTTTCAGTTTCCCTTAATTCCCCTCCTCCTCTCCAGCCCAGAACAATTGTAGAATGTAAATCGGGTCCTGTTGAGCATTTCCTTTACTTTCCTGTACCCCAAAGGGGCAAGGAAGGGAAGACAGGTCAGCCCAGACTGCAGGAGAGCAGTGCCAAGCTCCCTTCCTAAAGACCCCACCCCAGTGCCACCTGAGTCCACCCCCTTTGGGAGCTATTCCAGGAAGAAAGGCTACAGGAACTGGTTTAGCCTTTACAAGCATCTGGTTTTGTGCTTCCCTGGAGCCACAAGAAGGAAAAAAAAGAAAAGAAAATTCTTTCCAAGTGGACGGTGAACATGTAGCCCCTGGGGGTATAACAGGAATAGAATCATAGTTGGGAGGGTCCTGAGGAGTCGGTGTTTTGACAGAGAGAAGTTTGATGGAGGTCCCAAACCTTTCCCCAGGACTTACCAGCACCCGAACAGAAGGGAACTGGAAGGACTGGCTGGTAGTGGTGGTGAGGAGTCTGTGGGAGAAGTGGGGCTCCAGATGGGGAGGCTCGGTGTAGTGCAGGGTGCAGGGAGCGGGTGTTCCTGCAGAAGTGCAGGCCCAGCTGCTCTCTGTGGGACACAACATGGACGCCACCAGTGCATTCCAGCCAGGATGAACTGGGTGCCAGTGACAAGGGAGATTGCAGAATGCTCAGGACAGGGGATCTGTGAATGAGGTCTTGGGAGGATGAGAAGACTCCGGAAGTTGGACAGTGGAGAGGGCAGGCAGGCTCAGGGGCTTGGTAGGAGGCAAATGACCTCAGATCTTGTATTTGGGGTGTCTGGGGGACTTCCCAGGGGGAGGTTGAACACACATCTGGAGCTAGAGACAGCCCGTTGGGAGTCATTTATGTACAAGTGGTCATTGAGATGATGTGGAGTGAGTTGAGGAGAGGAATAAAACCCTGGGGAACATGTAAGGGCAGGGAGGGGAGAGAGCGAGCGAGAGAGAGAACAGAAAAAAGAAAAGACCCAGAGGTGTGGCCCAGACTGCAGCAGAGATGCAGGGGAGGAGCTCGGGAAAACAGATGGTCCCTGGTGACTTGCAAAAGTGGTCCTGGTCCCAGGAAGAGTGTGGGAGGCAAGGCAAAGTGCATGGCAAGAGCCCTGCTAGAGAGGGGCGGGCTGACTGCAGTTGGGGTCCTGGGGTAGGAAGCGTGAATGAGGCTTTCTAAGGATAGGGAGGAGGACTGGGACCAATGCCAGTGTCCTTGGAAGCTTGCTTCTGTCCCTGTTATATCTCTCAGTTCCATCACTTTCCCACTCACAGATGTCTTCAGGCCTCATCTTCCCTTGAAGACCACATAAAGGGATTCCTACTCCTTGAAGGAAATGACCCATTTTTCACATGCACCTGGGGACAGTCTCTAATCAGATTATCGGACTGGGCACCTGAGGACCCAGGAAATGGCACAGTGAATGCACTTCCAGGCATTCCTGAAGAAATCACCTGCAAATGCCATTCTCCTGCAGAATAGCTATAGCTGTTCCCTGGCCACTCTGTGACCCTCTTCCCCCACCCCCATGTCCCAAGAGCAAGGTCAACAGCAGTGCTTTATTAGTTGTGAGAACAAGGTCCCTGGATGCCCCTGCTGTGGTGCAGTCTCTCTGGGTGCTTTGCAGCCTCCTGCACCGCCTCAAAACCTCGTGTGGGAAGTATAGGTGGAGGCCTTTGTGGAGGGCATCTGTGCCCAGGAAACAGGGCTGAGGCTCGAACGTGAGACGTATTTTGCCGGTGATCATCATGAATGCCTGGTACAAATACTGAGCAAGCTGTCAGCCCCTCCTGTTTCTACTTCCACCTCAAATCCTCCTGATGAAGGTTCCCTCCCATCCTGTTCTTTTGTCCTCACTGTTGATCTCCTGTGGAATCAAATACCATGCTCAGAGACCCTCTGCAAGACCCAAGCCTACTGTTGAAACAGGTCTGGGTCACACCTGCCCAGGAGGCCAGTGTTCAATCATTTGACACTGGGATATGTGCTCTCACTGATCCCTGATTTGACAGATGGCTCCTACCCCTGTGAGAAGACATCAAGAGATGCCTCCCAGCTTTGGGGTGGCCAATATGTGTGAGGTGGGGCCCCTGGGGGTCTGCAGCATGCTCCCAGCAACTGCTGTAAACTGCCTTTCTCTATTTAGAGGACTGGGAGAGGGCAGGTCTGAAAGCCCAGATCTTTTTATAGATCCACCATGTGAAATAGCTGTCTCCAAGTCCTGCTATCAGCTACCTTTCAAACCTTATAACTGACTTTTCAGACAGCTTATCTCACTGGTATAGGATGGAGACTTTTGGCCCATGATACTGGTTCATGTTGGCTCCAGCAGCTGGCTCTTCTAGTTTCAGAACAACCTGAGACACCCCAGGATATTGTTTAACCAGCTCTCCGGTCAAGAGCCCACTGGCCAGCCATCACTCCCATGTCGGTTGGCTATACATAGTTGGTATTTATCTAGCTGAAGATTGAACTGCCTAAAATCCATGGAAATAGGAGGTTTTACTTAAAGCAAACAAACATGGTGCCTAGTTATGGGTTCTCTCAATATCCATGCACATCTGTCTATCTGGGCTTATATATCTTTCCCTGTAATGTTTCAACTATTTAACTGTGGCCACCTTCCTGACAGGAAAGTCATGGGGCCTGACAACGGGATAATCTGTGCTTATTATACTGTTTGGTTCCCAAGACAAATCAAGTGCATTTTAAGAGCCAACAAAACTCCCAAGTCCTTTGGTGGTGCTAAAAGACCCCAAAGACAGTGGCTATCTGTTAAAGACAGTTAAATTGAAACTAGAAAGGTGAATATAAACTCAGCCTATCCTGTGGTGGACTTAAGGATTTTAGGAAAAAAAAAGTTCTTTATGGATTATAGGCTAAAAAGGGACAGTTTGCACAGTTTGGACAAAATATAAGTACTCTTAACAATAAATATGTTTCAAAAAGACAAATAAAGCTCTCCCCAGTTGGCAGCTTGGAATCCCAGCAAGAAGTGATGGGCACAGGCACAATGAGCTATGTACAGAGTGTAAACAGTAAGGCCCTTGAGAAGTAAGAGGGGCAGGACCAGGTGATGGGAGACGTGTAGGAGTGTGAGTCGGTGTGTGGGCCCAGGGCAAAATACAACAGGTTTGTATGATGAGCATTCAACAAACCACCAAAGTTTGCAGGGAATGGTGGCAGGTCCACTGGGCTGGGTTCCTGGAATTGGCAGTAATGAGGAGAAACTGAGTCCACTGAGGAGCCCTGACCCCCTCCCCCCTCCCCATTCCTGTTTTTAGAGGAGGGGAGGGGAAGCCGGTAAGGCCTCTGTGCCTTTTCCTCCAGAGGAGGAGGGGAAGGCCTGCCTGGTCATACATGGGGCTGTCTACATAGGTTTCAGGACCAGACAGATAAGCAGTTTCTCAAACTGGGATTGGGTGCAAATGGCTCCACGGATCCTGCAGCCCCTCCCTCCTAAGAAAAATGTTCAGCAGCCCCATAACTCCCTACCCTTCAAGGACTCGGATCCCAGGTCTAGCCCCAGTTGTTCAAGGACGCCACCAAGCAGTCACCCTAATTCACGAGGGCCTCTTGAACTAAGCCGGTCTCCCCACCACGCCCTCCCGCCCTCGCCCCGTCCCCGCCCATCACAGTCCTCAGCTTAGCTGGGGGGTGGGGTGGGGTGGGAATGGGGGTTCTTAGATATCAGTCTCCCGGAGGTTGCTGTAGTCGGTCAAGTCATAGGCCTGGCAGGTGGCGCCTTCGGCCCCATCTTGGGGAACGCCTAGGGACACTGCCTCCACCTCGGAGCGCAGGGCGCACGTGGCCTCTGTGCGCTGCGCACCCCCGGCGCGAATCTTATGCGACAGGCTGGAGACCTTGGCACGCAGCTGGGTGGTGGGCTTCCGCAACGGCCCGAGCAGCCTCCACTCGCGGAAGGCACCGGGCGCCCTCCGGCGGCCGGAGATCGGGGCTTGTAGCTCGGTCGCGCCCGGGGAGCCGGCGGCCTGGAAAGCGGTGAGGGCCAGAGGAGCCCCAGGGGGTGCGGTGCTCGGGCTGGGGGTGCAATCAGGGTGGGGAACGCTGGTTGAGGCCCTCCAGTGGTGGCCGTAGACGCGCCAGAGGGGGCGGCGGCGTCGACGGCGGCGACACTGGCAGCGCAGAAGGCGGAGGAAAGCGCGCTTGAACTCGCGGCTGGAGCAGGGGTAGATGAGAGGGTTCACACAGCTGTTGAAATAGCCGAGCCAGAAAATAACCTTGAAGACGCCTTCTGATGGCTTCAGCTGAGGGAACAAGGAGCCTGTAGAAAAGAGACCCAGGCTGATTAGCTGCTTGGGAGTGGGAGGCCCATGCGGGCCCTGGGTGCAAAGGTTTGAGCCTCCCTACCCTCCAGAAACCCTGGCTGAGTCATGGACTCGAGCTCTTACGGGCTCTCTCCCCTAAGGGATCCCGGATACAAGTCAGGAGCTCCATGAACTTGGATGGGGGAAGATAATCTTCTTGTTTATTCACCTCTACCTGAAATTGATTATTTCCTTTAAGGAGTATAGGCGACAAATCAGAGAACATTTAGACAAACCATGTGACATGGCTGTTTTTGTCGATTAAAATCGATGCAACATTGCAAGTTCCCACAGATAACTTTGCTATGGCATTCGGTGGTTGCAGACAGTTCTGAAATGGTAGTCACTAGAACGCACCACTAGATCTTATTTGATGCCTTGACGTGGAAGCACATTCCTAAATCTCACATTTCATGTAAAAATATTTTGCACAGCTTTTTCAGTAAGATCAGTTTCATTTGCAATCTTTTGGCACTTTGTTTTATGCTTTGGAAAGCATCACTTTGAGAAGGGATCCTCCCTAGTCATCACCAAATGTGTAAGTAGTCCCTTGCCCAAAAAGAGGGAAGAGTCTCAGAATTAAATGTGCATCAGGGCCAGCTACTGTGCTGGGGTTGCTTCTGTGAGGAGAAACGTGAGACATGGCACTCCTTCCTTAGGTAGCAATATGGATGCCACTGAGATGAACATGGAGTGATGTTAGTGCTCAGTGTGTGTAGGAGGGGAGGGGTCAGGCTCCTGACAGCTTCCAGGTGTGTCAGAGGATGGGCAAGAGTCTTCCGGATAGGGAGAGGCAGAGGTTACAGGAGGAAGGGACAGGTGGGCATGAGGATGCCAAGTTTGGGGCCTGTAGGATAAACTCAGAAAACTTCATTTGGGACAGATGATGGAGACCTTTAAAAGCTGGAACGTTCAGCTTTTATTTCGTGGGTAGTTAGGAATCATGGACATTTTTAAACAGGTGAGAGACAGAGCCCTAGAATGAAGTCTGAATAAACACAATGCCCATGGATGTCAGGATGCAGGGAGTGGGGCTATCCCAATGGAAGCAGACAAGGAAGGCTTCTGGGATGGCCCTGAGGTAGCAAAGTACTGGAGAGGTTGGGTGAGGGCATGGGGACCTGAGCTGTACCAGGGATGCCCTGCTCCCCACAAATCTCTCCCTGATAGCGCTACCATGGACCTGAAGGAAGCTGCGTCTCTGGAAAGGAAGGCCAAATGCAAAGGCACAATCCAGAAGCCACTGTCTCATGAGTCTCCATCTTCAGCAGCAGTAGGGGATCCAGGTGTTCTGTGTTGGACATAGGCAGTAGCCTGTGAGACTGAGCAGGCCAGGGGTGGCAGTTCTTGACAAATTGTGAAACCTTTCTCTCTCTCTCTCTCTCTCTCTCTCTCTCCCCCTCTCTCTCCCCCCTTGCTCCTCCTCAGCTAAGAGCCGGGTTCCCTACTGAGCTGCCAGAGGCACCATGCCCTACTCTTTGACCTGAGGACTCTTGCATATTGCTGATTCCCACCATGTAGAGTCAGTTCCTAGTGCTGAGGCTCAGTAGAGGAAGAGGAGGGAGGGTCAAACAGCATCTCACAGCCTGGACTTTTGGAATCTTGCTCACATGGCCCTTCATAGCAAGCAGTTTGGCCTTCTAAAGGCTCTTTTTCCTTTTCTGTGAACTAGAGACAACAATACTTCTCTGGATGGGATTTTGGGAAGATTCATAAATTTCTGGGTCCAGCTCTCAGCAGAATTTTTCTTTTGGGGGTGGGTCTGGGGTTTGAATTCAGGGCTTTGCTCTTGCAAAGCAGGCACCACTTGAGCCACACCTCCAGCCCATTTTGCTTTGGTTATCTTGGAGATTGGGGGTCTCATGAACTATTTGTCTGTCTGGCCTTCAACCATGATCCTTCCAATCTCAGCCTCCCAAGTAGCTAAGATTACAGGCCTGAACTACCAGTGTCTGGCTCTTAGCAGGATCTTAAGTTCTGGGCTTGGGCTGGAGGTATAGTTCTGTACTAGAGAACTTGCTTATCACTTAAGAAGCCTTGGATTCAATATACAAACAAACAAACAAAAATACCTCAGACCTGGTGTCTGTTCAATCCTTCCCTTTTGAGAGTGGAGCCCAATGTCTTGGAGGGATCCTAGTTTCTACATCTACAGTGTCCCGAAAAAGTAGCTGAGACATGGTGAGGTTGGGGGGAGGGCAGATGGAGCATCAGAGACTGATTTTCCCTTAGAGAGGGATTGGGCAGTCCCTGAAATGTGGGAGCCAGCAAGGTAGATCTCAGCTTCCAGGAAGTCAGCCCTCGAGATCAGCATCCCTCAACTGCAGCAAAGTCAGGCTAAGTGCTGAAAATAACTTTCTGACTCAGGCTACAATTCTTTTATATTTAGCGTAGGATGACAAATCAACTGACTATGCTCTCCAGTGGTGAGCCCAAAGCCGGCCAAAGGGCATTGTTACTAGCAGGGGTTTTATTCACAATGGTGGGGAACATGGCATTTTATATTATGGCCAGGGTTTTGTTGCAAACATCAATTCAGTATTCTAACTATGCTTAACTGACCCGTGTGAAGTTACATGAACTGGGAATTCCTTACATACAAAGGGGCTGGAATTCAAATGCAGCCTTCCAGCCCCAAGATGTCCCCACTGAATCCTGTTGAGGGTTTGTCTTGCTTTGGGCTCTTCCAGAAGACTCTGAGAAAAGGATTCAAAAGCAAGGTATTCATTTGGGAGGTAAATGAAACACCTAGAGTGAGTGGGAAAAAGACACAGGGAGAGAAGGAAGCTAGTAAGAGGTATGCCATCAGGTTGGTTACCAATGTGGGCAAAAGGGTCCACTGGGGGGCTCTGTGCAGAACAGGAACCTCGGGGTGAGCCCACCACAGGGGAGGGAGGTGGGGTATCTACACACCCATTCCCATCAGTCTTTGCACTGCTCCCTCCGGTTGTTAATTTTTCCCTGCTTCCTGCTGTTACAAGGTGGATGACAAACACTGGAGCAGAGCAAACATTGGGGCAAAGCGATACAGGCAGGTGCTCAGGTGGAAGTAGGCTGATGTGCCCTGAAGGTCAGTGGAGATGGGTGGGTGCCAACGGTGCCACACTGTGTATTCTTTGCTCTCTTCCCACTGTGTGCAGAAGAACATAAGACTTATGTGTACCTAAAACACATAGATGTCTGTGCTGTGGGCTCTGGATGCCACAGGTAGCAGCTCCTGAGACAGTTTTCCTCTGTTCTTGCAGATGGCACATCGGAGGCTTTCACTGCCTCTGCCCAGAGTGCTGCAGCCTCCATCTCCACCTGTCTACACCCTGCCTCGCTCCCCCTGTGGCCTCCTTTCAATGCCCTCTCAGAGACCCACAGCCCTTGCAAGGATGTCTGTGAGGTGGAGAAGGGGGATGGGCATTTCTTTCCCCACTGCATGCCATGGGTGTGGGATGGGAATCTTGGCTTACAGCACTGTCCCTGCAATGCTGCCCTGCCTTGGCAGCCTCAATGGATAAAGCCCTCCCAGCTTTTACCACCTTCTCCTCTGCCAGTTGCTCTGAGTTACAACTATGGGGTCAGCCATCTGCTAGCACACACTTTGACCAGCTCCATCACAGGTGCCACAGTTTGGATAGTTTGTCCCCCAAAATGTACAAGCTTGATCCCCAGTGTAATTGTAGAGAGATGGGAGAACTTTTAAGAGGTGGGCCCTACTGGAAGGTAATTAGGTAATGGGAGCTCTATCCTCATGAATGGATTAATGCTGTCTGGAGGGAGTGGGTCAGGTTTCATGTGACTGGAACAGTTCTCTTGAGTGTGGGTTGTTATACAGCACAGCCATCCTGTACACTTGACCCTTTTACATACAGCCATTTCCTTCCTGCTTCTCCTTCATGTGTGATGCTGCCAGGGGCCCTTGCCAGACACCGATCCCATGTTGTTTGGACTTTCCAGCTACCATAACTGTAAGCCAAGTAAGCCTCATTTCTTTGTAAGATACCTCACATCAGTCATTTTGTTACAGCAACATAAAATGGACTAAAGCCATGGGAAAGCCTCAATGGGCACATGCGGGATTTGTGGCCAAGGCTACTCTCTCTCAGTACATGGGGAAGCCTATGAATAGGCTCCCTCTCCTATTCCCCAGGTTGTCTCCTGTTTTCTTGCAGGTTTAAAGTCCAGTTGGGCTAACTTATCTTAGCAGTTGTCCTTGAAAAGGAGGCTCTCCTGAGATGCTCTCTCTTGGCCTCCCACTTCTCCATCCAATCCTAGCAACAACTCCTGCTCTCTGAAGCTCCAGTATTTCTCTGCAGCCTTACCCCTGGCTTCATCTGTAATAGTCACGTGGCCACACTGACCTCTGGCTGTGCTCTGGCCAGAATAGGTTCCCCAGTGTTGCTTCTGGGCTTTTGCACATGGTCATTCTGGATGCCCTTCTTCCATGCCTGTTAGGGCCAGCTCCAGGGTACCTCCTCCTAGAAGCCTCCCTTACATCACCCTCTCTGGGCCCAGTAGAGTTATTTGTCTTCTCCTCTCACACACAACAGATTACACTCACTTTTAAGAGCCAAGAACACTGTAGGTAGCTATTGGTTTCCTATTTCTCTTGCCTTTAAATGCTGGCGCACAGTGGATGCTTGATATATTCATGGGCTCTTCTCTATCACGGCCTGCATCTCACGCACCATCAACTCCTATTGGCCCCTGAGTCCCCCTATGTACCTCACTTCCTTGTTACTGCCTTGGCCCAAGCTATTATCTTGGTCTCCCTGCAGTGCCCATCTAAGTGGTCTCCCTGCTCCTGCCCTTGGACTCCTGCAGCCTGCTTTCCACACAGCAGCCGGGGGTTCATTGCAAACAGAAGCCTGAACATTTTAGTTCTTCATATTATCCACTTCTGGCCCTCTGCTTTTCCTCATCTGCCAGCCCCTTGGATTCCCCCATCTGTCTCCTTCTCTACTTAGCT